TACACAGAGTTGGGTAGGCGAACGGGGGGGAGGGGCGAGAGAGGCGATAGGGAGAATGTGGCAAGATAAAAAGGTGGTTTGTAAGTGTGACGAACGGATTAAATGCACACATTCTATTTTTGTTTGCTTTGAACAGACGGATGGTTGCAGTGAGTTCAAGTGTCTCCAAATGCGTTAAGACACTAATATTAATTCTGAGTTATACTACAACACATGGCAGTATTTAAGCTAGTTGCTATGTTAAAACGCCAAGGTAAATGATGTGATTTAATAATTTTACGAATGTCTAACTACTTAGAATATTGGTTGCTTATGCAGACGTTATGGCATTGAAATTCTTACAAATTCTTGATAATATTTTATAGCTAATTTACACTTTGTTATTAAGTTATAAGTTGGAAAAAGGGGTAGGGTGGGGAAGATTTATTTATGGGCACATAATTTACACCTACTTACTACTCAACTGTTTCATGTTGTGATGGGGTTTTCGCCCGCTTAAATCTTCTCCTAAGATTTAAATCACTGGAAAGTTTGGAATTCGATGTTCATATTAACCGTTATGGGGTGCCGATAGGCTTACCTTTGCCACGTGGTGCCCACTTGGCAACGTATACTCATACGGCAAAAAGTCTACAAACCGGCAGTTGACTTCTGACTCCAAACTACCATGACCAGTCTGTATACCATATTCGACCACTTCCACAGTACTCACCTCACCTTAAACTCTTCTTCACCATTGTGCCTGTCATTTTACAACGGTGAATCACTCATTCGTTCCCCTCACTCGACTTTTCGTGACTCTAACATTTCTGCCCTCCGTGAAGACCGAAATCTGCTTAAAGGCTAATCATGACTATCATAAAGCCTGCCATTTGATATAAATAAATATTGACCGTTATATCTATAAAGCAGGGATGAGGTTGGTTTTGCGATAGCATGACTTACTTTGTTGTGCTAATTCACATTTTATTGGTAACTTTAGATTTTACTGTATACAAACATATTTCAATCATAAAATGCGGATTTAAGCTTTTTGAGAGGTGGGAATTAACGTCGTCTCTATGTCTTAGACATGCCAACTGTCAAGCCAAAATTCCATTAGTAACCATTAGTTTAAGGTAAATGAATTAAGAACTTTTTCCCTACAGCGAGACTGGATCGTCTTCTTGATTGAGGTCTTTCATAATTTCCTGGTAGTACAATTTCAGATTTACCTTAATGACGCACTGTGTAGTAACCAAGAGGGTGGGGAGGCGTTTATTTAATAAAACGGGTTGAGGTACAAGAGGTCTGAAGATGAGAAAGCATAGTGCAGTCTAAGTCAAAGAGTATATACTACTGATGCATTGAAAGTAGGCTGATCTAGCAATCCCATTGCTAGCATATGTGTAAAACGGTCTTAACTAGTTTTGGAAGATGTATAGACCCGTCTCCAACTCCATCTTTAATTCCCTAATAGACATTTTACGTCTTTCATTATAATTGTATTAATATTATTTTAGTGCATAAGATTTAATTGTTAATAAATTATTATCTGGAATACATTTCCTACAGCGGTTAAAATTAATTGTTAGAGACGAGTGAGATAGAATGAGTGAAGAAGAGGAATGGAGTGGAGGCAATAATTAAATGTCAATAAATTGAATAAAATACAATGATTAAATGTTAAAATAAAAACACAAATCCAATGGTCGCTTTTCTTATTTTTCTTCTTATCCCACATTTCTCTTTGGTATGGAAATAGGATACTGGTTGTGAGACATGTCACTGCTTAACGCTTCTCGCATGTCTGCACGCCAGGAATGGGAGGTGCGGCCGTACAACTCCGTGTGCGGTAATCGTACAAAAAAGTGGCCAATCAGCAGCCTCTGTTTGTTTGACCTAAACCGCCATGCTGATCATGATTAAGCTCGCTTCGTGTACAGTTTATCCATATTATATTTATTTCAAGGGGTGTGCGATAGACTTACCTACACGTGGTGCACCTTGGGCAACGTAAACTCATACGGCAAAAAAGTCTATTAATCGGCAGTTGACTTCGGACTTTAGACAACCATCACCCCACTGTATGTCATATCCGACTACTGGACTTTAGACAACCATCACCCCACTGTATGTCATATCCGATTATTTCACAGTATTTACCTTTTTTCTACCTTTGTGTCTGTCTGTCTCTTTCACGCCTGTGAATCATTATTCTGTCCCCCTCTCGACTTCTTACCACTTGGATGTTCATCTTCCTTTCTGTGAAGCAGAAAGTCAACTATAGGGCCAATGAAACCCATCATAACGCCTGCCATTTGAAATAAATAAATATTTGCTTAGCTTTCTATGAATGACCCATCAGTGAAGACTTGGAGACATTGATTGTCTCAAGGGCCAGTGAGCGCATTTGCTCGGGAGGAGTGTTTGATTTCCTGAAGAAGTCGAGCAGTTGAGTGCGACACACTACATCAATGTCTGCTAATGGGTTCATGGAGAGAGAGAGGCTTTTTGGTTTATCATCGATTTGTAATGCTTTCTTCAGTTCTATGGCTTTCTATATTAGACCAGATTGAGTTTTCAGATGTCTTGGTCTATTCTCATAGGTGCTGAAGAACATGTCCATGGGAATGCGCAGTAGCTTCTCATACAAGATCAAGTCCTTTTCTTTGATAAGGGAACCTATTGTGGTGCTTCCTGTAACTAGGAGCATTGCATCAATAGGTGTTGATTTTATCCCCCCAGTAATTAGTCGTAATGCTTGGTTGTGTGCCTTCTCGAGGGGTTTGAGAGTCACCTCTGTGGCTGTAATGAGTGGCTCACAGCAATACAACATTATTGGCTGAATAAACATCTTGTAAGTGGTGTTTAGAGTTGAGCGCGCACAGCCCCATACACTACCAGCAAGACGCTTCAGGACATTCAGTCTATTGGAGACGCGTTCTGCTATTTTAGCAATGTGACTTTTCCACGTTAGCTTTGTGTCAAACGTCATTCCGAGATATGTGAACTCATAGGTTTTTTCTATGGTAGAATCCTTGTACCTTAAAAGCGGGTTTATGCTGTGATGGGCCAAAGAAAATGTTTGGAATGCAGTTTTTGCGGTGTTAATTACCATTCCATTGTTGTCACACCAGTTTGCTAGTAGTTTAAGTGCATAAGTTAGGGCACTTTCTGTCCTCTCCTGAGCGTTTTTCTTTGGAACGGAAGACCATAGAACAAGATCATCTGCATAAGGTAAGCACTTGATGCCCGTGACTGTACTAATTCGGCTATGTCATTGATGAAGACATTAAAAAGAGTGCAGCTTGTGACAGCTCCCTGTGGAAGGCCTGTTTGTAAAAGAGTGGATTTTGATAGAGCATTTCCATATCTGACTTTACATGATCTTTGTCCAATGAATGCTTTTATCCAGTTTAGCATGTTATGCTTAANTCTCACTGATGTCGCTTGAAGCCAGGAGTAAATCAGGAGTTGTACTGGTTCCATTGTAGTGCAAATATGTAGCCGGATCCTCATTGCTGTAAATAAGTTCGAGAGATTTGCTGTTTAGCACGCCTTCACTTTCCTTTCCAGCAATGTTTGTATCCTTGTAGCCCATCTGGTGGAGTGTGCGTTGAAGTCTCCTAATACTATAGTTTTGTGTGAGATGTTCAGAAAGTCAAAGTTTGGACAATTCTGGGGTGGATTATAGACTGCATATATCTTGAAGTGGTTTTGACATTTCCAAACATTTAATCTGATTATTTCACATTTGTCTTGTGTCGAACCCATACTCCTGGCTAGATCGTAGTGTGAGGTGAGGCAACTCGCGGGTATTTAGGTAGAAGGTACAGAGTGAAACCTGGGAATTGATAGTACTTCAGTTTGTCATCCGAAATGTTAGCTTCCATAATTGTGAAAATGTCTACATCATAGGTTTGCAGGATTTTCTGTATTTGGATCTTTTTGTCCGGAGTCATTCCTCCAGCATTCCACTGGAGGATCTGAAGACGTTGTGATTCACATTGACGAGAGCGATTTTTCTTATAGCCTTTTTTGAAGCTAATCATAATTAATCGAAGTCAAAAACGAATGCCAAGTGATAGACTATTTTGCCGTACGAAGATACGTTGTCAAGGGTGCACCACGTGGAGGTAAGTCTATCGCGCACCCCAATTCTATGACATCATTTTGTAGAATCGATTCAGTTTCATTTTGAAGGTGGTTTTGAATGGAAACAAAAAGCAGTAAATACACTTTTAGTCGACTATTAACGGATAATAGATACCTACGCAAAAAACCCTAAATGAAGCTCGATAGCACGACCAAAAAATGTATTTATTCAACTTACAAAA